TTCAAAAAGCTGGAAGAGAGTTTTGAAAGTTTTCAACATGAAGAAATGATAAATGTTTGAAGAGATAGATATGTTTAACCTGATCTAAACATACAGCATTTACATGCATTAAAACATTACATAGTACACCATTAATATGTACAATTTTTGTTTCAATTTAAAAATAAATTTTAAAAAGCCAGATGTAGACAGGCATGGTGGCACACACCTGTGATCTCAGCACTTGGGAGTCTGAGGCAGGAGGATCACCACAAGTTCAAGGCCAGCCTGGGCTACATAGTGAGTTCAGGGCCAGCCTGAACTACAAAGGGAGACTGTGACTCAAAAAAAAACAAACAAAAAAACCCCCAAAACAAAATGCCAGATGTAGTCACTCACACCTGTAATCCCAGCACTCAGGAGGCTGAGGCAGGAGGATTGCTGCCCTCCAAACCAACCTGGGCTACACAGTGAATTGAAGATCAGTGTAAACTACCTAGTGAGACCGTCTCAAAAAAATAAATAGATACCCAGGGATTTAGCTCAGTGGCACAGTGCCTGCCTGGCAAGCATGAGGTCCTGAGTTCAATCCCCACTACAAAAAAAATTAAAATAAAATAAAATAAAAATAAACTGAAAGGGGCCAGGGATTTAGCTCAGTGTTGCCACCACCTGCCTTGCAAGTGCAAGGTCCAGAGTTCGATCCTCAGTACCAAAATAAATAAATAAATAAATAAATTTTAAAAATAAACTGAAAAAATATGATTAACTTCTTAGGCCTTAGAATACAAATTTCTTACAGGACACATAATGTAAACACTACTCACACAGAACCCTAAGCAATAACATATTCCACTATTTCATCCAGGGATACACCTCACTCACCACTGTAAACCTTCCCTAACAAACTTTGCTATGTGCCATGTGCTTTAGGAACAAATAGTGGTAAAAGCCACTACTGGCAAATACAATGTGCAAAAAAAAAGAGAAGAATTTTATCTTAGCTTCTTAAGAGTCTGAGGCAGGAGGATCACAAGTTCATTCCCATTGTGGGAATTTAGCACGACCCTGTCTCAAAATAATATTTCTTTGCTCATGGCTATTATTTCCATCCACAAATGTTGCAGAACCATTATGGCATGTCTGTTAGGTGTGACAGGCAGGGAAAACTGACAGAAAAAGGGTTCTGAACACATTATAAAATATACCCAGGTGAGCCAGGGATTTAGTTCACTGGCAGCAAATCTGCCTCGAAAGCCCAAGGTCCTGATCACCGTTGCGGGGTGGGGTATGTGTGTGTGTGGGTTTTTTTTCTTCCTTCTATTTAATGTAACATTTCAGAAAAGTTACTTAAGATGGCTGTAGTCCCGACTACTCAAGAGGCTGAGGCAGGAGGATCGCTGTACCTAAGAATCTGGGGCCAGCCTGGACAACACAGTGAGATCCCATCTCAGGAAGGAAGGGAGGGGAGGAGAAGAGAAGAGAAGCCTTATAAGAAAGTGTTTTTAAAAAACACTAGACCAGCTCTTCAGGACCATTCCTGAACTCAAATAATGTGAGAGGGAAATAAAGATGTTTCAAACCTGAACATAAACTAGTGTGAGCCTAAAGAATCAAGGAAGACACAGCAGACTGTAAGGGAAATTCTGCATTGAAGGCCTACTGGAAATTTTTTAGTTTTAAAGCAACTGTCTAAAATAAAAAGATGTTGAACTAAAAAGTAAGCTTAATCAGCATATAAACTATTGACAAAGAGCATTCACTGGGCTATGTGCTCCGATGATCAAGGCTGACAACCCAAGCAGCTGTCTGCCTGAAAACCCCACCTGCCTGTGGTCGCAGGAAGAGGACCAGTGTGAGGACCAACGCTCTTCCCACAGAGAAGAGCCCATCATACACTTCAGTCCCAGTGTTGCACATGAAAAAGCAGAGGCTTGTCCACTGGCTAAATTTCATGAAAGAGTTCCAAATCATCCAGAGTTTCAGCTTTTAAGTTTTTTTTTTGCTGTTGGAATTCAAACTGAGGGTTTTCCACATGCTCAGCAAGCATTCTACCTGCCACTGAGCTGTATCCCCAGCCCTACCTTTATATTTTAATATTTAGTTTTTTTGTTTTTTAAATTTTATTTTAATAGTTCTTTGTTGTTGTTGTTGTACTGGGGATTGAACTCAGGTCCCTGAGCTTGCAAGGCAGGCGGTGGAATCACTGAGCTAAATCCCCGGCCCCCAATATTTAGTTTTTAATGAGGGTTTTAATTTTTTATTAGTCTATGTTAGCAGTACATAACGAATATATTCATTGTGGAGTTTAGGAATCTGTACATATTGGATCTTAATCCTCTTTACTTCCCCTTCCCTCCCTCCTTTCCTTCTCTTTCTCTCCCTAGATTCCCTGCCTGTGGAGCAGCTTATATTAAAATGTAAAGGCAGAGTCCTTACCTCACAGGATACACAAAATTTAACTAAATTAGGTAGATCATAGACTTCTGTAAGAGCTGAAATTATGAAACTTTTACAAAAAGTCATTGGAGGGCCAGGGATTTAGCTCAGTGGTTCCAGTACTTGCCCCACAAATCCAAGGACCCAAGTTCAATCCCCAGTACCAAAAAATAAAATAAAAAAGTCATTGGAAAAGAGCGGGGCTGGGGATTTAGCTCAGTGGTTTCGCTGCCTGCTATGCAAGCACAAGGACCAGAGTTCGATTCCCTGCTACCCCCCCAAAAAACCCCAAAAAAGTCATTGGAGTAAATCTTAGTATATCTTTGGGTAAATCTTAGTTATAACACCAAAAACATAAGTGATAAAAGATAAACTGGACTGCATCAAAGTTTAAAATAGGGTTGCCAGGCATGGTGGCCCATGCCTGTGATCCCAGAACTCAGGAGGCTAAGGCAGAAGGATCACTACAAGTTCAAGACCAGCCTGGGCTACATAATTCAAAAAATAAAACACCAAAAAAAATTGAGTTAAAAAAAAACAAATTAAAATGGGGCTGGAGGTGTAGCTCAGTGGTAGGGTCCTTGCCTAGCATGTGATAGGTTCCAGATTCTATCCCCAGCTCTGGAGAAACAAAAATTTTAAGGCTGGGGATGTTGTTCAGTGGTGGAGTGCTTTCCTAGCATGCAGGAAGAGCTGGGCTCAATCCTTAGTATGCTTTCCTAAATTTTTTAAATCTTTGTGCTTCAGCCAGGTGTGGTAGTGCATACCTGTAATCCCAGCACTCTGGGAGGCTGAGGCAGGAGAAATGAAAGTTTATGGCCAGTCTGGAGAACTTGGCAACTAAACAAGACCTTATCTCAAAATAAAAAAGGCTGAGAATGCAGCTCAGTGTGACAGCTTTGGGTTCAATGCCTAGTACCAAAGAAGAAGAAGAGAAAGGAAAGGAAGGAGGTAGGAAAGAAAAAAGAAAAGTTTGTGCTTCAAAGAAGCACTATCAAGGAAAAGAAAGGAATTACAAATATTCTGATAAGGGATTTGTGCCTAGAATATATAAAAGAACTCTTGGGCCTGGGGTTTATCTCAGTGGTTCTGCCACCTGCCTTGAAAGCACAAGGTCCTGAGTTCGATCCCTGGTACAAAAATAAAGAAAGAAGGAAAGAACTCTTACAATTCAACAACAGAAAGACAAGTAGCCCAAATCAAAACAAAGGGTCAGGCTGGGGTGTAGTTGTGTGGTAGAATATGCATGGCAGTCCTGGGTTCCATTCCTAGAACTGCAAAATCAAGGGAGCTGGGGGGTCTAAATAGGTATTTCTCCAAAGAAGACACATACATATGGTCAATAACCATAATAAGGAATATTCAACATCATTAGTCATTAGGGGACTACAAACCAAAACCACTTCACACCTAATAAGATCCCTATAAAAAAAAATGCTGTCCAGGGCCCAGGATTTAGCTCAGTGGTGCCATGCCTGCCTCGAAAGAAAGCTCAAGGTCCTGAGTTCGATCCCCAGTACAGCAAAAAAAAAAAAAAAAAAAAATGCTGTCTAGGATCTGGAGACATTGGTACCCTCATATATTGGTGAAAACATAAAATGGTGGGAAAGTTTGACAATTCTTCAAAACGTTCAACAGAATTACCATATAACCCAGCAATTCCACTGGTTGGAAGATAGGCCTCAAGATAACAAAAACATATATACACAAAATGTTCACAGTAGTATTAGGCTGAAAGTGAAAACGTCTCAAATGTCTGTCAATTGATAAACAATGGGGAGAGACTGCTGAAGGGTTTCAAGTTTCCTTTCAGGGTAAGGAAAATGTTCTAAAACTTAATTGTGGCGATGGCTACATAACTCTGCGAATATACTAAAAAACATTAAATTGTACTCTTTAGGTGAAATTTATAGTATGTGAATTATATCTCGATAAAGCTGTTTTGAAAAGAATGTGTAGCAATGAGAACACCTGATGCCTTCCAACCGCGTAACTAACCGGGCAGGTGTTTCTCGCAAGTCGGACGGACTCGTAAGGCTCCGCCCACTTTTGACCCTACCGACTCTGAAGCAGCAAACATAGGTCCGAGGGCCCTGAGGCTCCTCTAGGACAGGGAATGGACCACTAGATCCGGGCCGCTCAGTCTTTGTACAAACAGTGCCTTGGCTCGGACGATCCCCATCGCCTCGTTCCTTGCCACTATCGGCCTGGAGAAGCGCTTACCCAAGGCACAGGCCATGGCAGCGCCCACCATGCCTCCTCCCGACACCACCACATCGTACACGGTGTCTGCCGAGGCGCCGAACCACCTCCGGCAGGAGACCAGCGGACTTCTGCGGGCAGCTGCTGGTAGAGGACCACAGCGACTCACAGCTAGCCGAGTCGCCATGATGGTGACCTGCGCCGTAGTACTGGGCAATCCGCAGACGCGCCTAGGATAGTACTTCCGGGAGCAGAATTTTCCAATCGCGTGCCGCGCCTCAGAACCGGAAACAAAACGCACGAAGGGAATAGACCAATCAGAAAACGATTCTTGCCTCCTAGGGCGGGATGGATTGGAAAGATGCCCTGAGAGCCAATCGGAGACCAAAGCTAAAAGGGGGCGTGTACGGCGCTGTCAGGACTGTCAGGGTCGCTGTCACTGCAGCTGCTGCTTCTGCCTGGCTACAAAGATGACTTTGGGGAAGCCTGTGGGAGCCTCTGGCAGCGCAGAGTGCAGCCGTCAGGTGAGGAGAGAAAGAAAAGGGACAGCAGGACTGTGCCCCGGAAAGAAATCCCCAAGAGATGAAACTGTTTTGCGTTGCCTTGGAGACAGATGGCAGGGGCGTGTCAGGGAGGGGCGTGGGATTAAAATTAGCGTTTAGGCTCCGGGAGACTGAGTCTTGTCTTTCTGGGATTTGAACTACTTTACCTTCTTTTTTTTTGGTACCGGGGATCGAACTCGGATCCTTGAGCTTTCGAGGCACTCAGCAGAACCACTGAGCTAAATCCCCGGCCCTGAACTACTTTATTTTTTAGGAGTCTCTTCATGGGGCCATAGCAATGCACTGTTTTTTGTTAATCCTCTTAACTACCCTATAACCAGTACAGTTCTCATTTTGTAGAAGAGAAAACTGAGGCACAAAGTGATTAAGAAACTTGCCTCAAAAATCCATAGAGACAGAAAGTAGCTTGGTGGGGTTTAGTGCTGACGGGGTTGGGGTACGGTGTCTGAGGTTAGGAGAAATAAGAAATGACTACTAAGGGGTATGGAGTCTTGGAGGCAATGAAAATGTTCTAAATTTTGTGATAATTGCACAACTTTGACTATACTAAAAAAATTGAATTATACACTTTAAATTAGTGAATTGTGTACTATGGAAATTATATCTCAATAAAGTTTTAAGATGTTAAGAGCCAGGCATGGTGGCTCACACCTATAATCCCAGCGCTCAGGAGGCTGAGGCGGGAGGATTGCTGTGAGTTTGGGGCCAGCCCGGACTACATGGCAAGATCCTGCTCCCCTGCCCCCCAAAAAAGCTATCATGACTTTCTTCATGGTAGCCTGCCCTGCTTTCTCCAGGGCGTCCTTTTTTTGCTTTTTCTCTTTTTACTTGCCCCAAACTCGCTCTGCAGAGCCAGTTTCTCCCTCACTCTTCACTGTTACTTTCTCGAATAAATGTGGCCACTGCTGAGAGAGAGAGAGAGAGAGAGAGAGAGAGAGGGAGGGAGGGAGGGAGGGAGGAGGGGAGAGGAGAGGGGAAAAGAAAAAAAGAAATTAAGAACTTTGCCCAAGATGGCAGACACGTTATTCAGTAACAGAGCCAGGGATACAACACACACATACCTTTGAATCCAAATCTGGTGTTTTTCTAGTATAACTGTTGGACCTTTGAGAACCCAGTAAGACCATCACCACATGTGACCTGGAGGGCTGTAACAGCCTGCCCTCACCTGGCCCTTCTGCTGCCACTCATCCTCTGCAGGCCCATCATGGCCCCATGCCTACCTCCCTAAGGGTGTCTCTCTCATGCCACTGTCCTTCAGCCACAACAGCCCTCTTTTACCTCCACAAGATTCAAGTTTATTCCTGCCCAAGACCCTCCCCCATGGCCTTTGCATATGCCTTGAACCCAAAACCTTCTTACCCAGATCCTAGCAAGGCTGGCTCCTCATCAGTCAGGTGTTAATCCAAAATTCCTACATAGTAAGAAAATAAAAACTAAAATAAATAAAAATAAAAATTAGTGAGGACTGAGAAAATACAAACATCCCAGTTTACAATGGTTCAACTCATGATTTTTCAGCTTTACAATGGTGGCCGATGAGAAAGTGATATACATTCAATAAAAACTGTACTTCAGTTTTAAATTTTCATTACTTCCCTGGCCAGCAATCATGTTTTCTCTCCATGCTGAGCAGTGACAGCAAGCTGTAGATCCCAGTCAGCCATGTGCTCACAAGGAGGAACAACTAGACGTTCAGTGGGTTAGGTGTATTAAATGCATATTTGACTTCTGATATTTTCAAGTTAAAATGGGTTTATCACTGTAAATCAAGGAGCATCTGTCTAACTACAAGTTTAATAGACACATAAGGACAAGATCAGCAAAAGTAGTGTTTCTTTGGGACTATGATGTTGCTGTGAAATTTCTAACAGCCCTTCATCTAAATGATAATGCTTACTTACCAATTACCTCCCTTGCTTTGTTCTTCTCACCTCTTCAAGAAAAATTGCTCACTCATTCACTTACTAACTGTCCCTGCTTCATGAGAGCACCCATCCAGAGTTTATCTCTCTCTCCCCCTAATCCTCCTCAAAGTCAGGGCAGGGGGAATGCCTCTTTGGAGGCTGAGGCAGGAGGATCATGAATTTGAGGCCAACCTGGGCAACTTGGTAAGATCCTGTATCAAAGTTTAAAGATAGTGGGCTGGGGATTTAGCTTAGTGGCACAGGGCCTGCCTCAAGTAGGAGGTCCTGAGTTAAATCCCCAGTACTGCCAAAAAAAAAAAATTAAAAATAGGAACGGGGATGTAGCTCAGTGGCACTGTGCCCGTCTTGCAAGCACAAGGTT